CGTGACAGTGTCTTTAAGTTGTGTCTTTTCATCCAAAGCTTCACACCTTTTCTGAATGATACAACTTCCCAAGCAAAATTTTGCCGTTGTTTCAGAATCGGTCCCTCGTCATAAATAAATCAACATCACAACCCTTCACTTCCAAATTCAAAACCTCCTCTTTGCCTTCTCTCTTCTCAATCCACAAACCCTTCGAGTACAATTTCACCATGTATGAAAATCAAGCAACATCTAGTGTACCCGACAATACTGTCATTGAGTCCACACCAGTTAGCATTCCAGCGGTAGACTCCTCACCCAACACAATCACTAGTCCAAACCCTAAAGTAGAGTCTCCTCCACACTCCACTCCCTCTCTTACCCACTCCGTTTATGTTCTTTATCACAGTCACGATAAGATGTCCGAGCAAGATGGAGAATGTTTTTCCTCCTCTAGTCTCACCGGTCAAACAGAGTGAACAGTATGAACAGGGTAAGCAAGGGAACCTTGTTTAGGAAACATCAACTTTCTCCATGGTTGGGCACTCTAGTGAAAATCCAGTGATTAGTCATGAAAAGACTGAGACAACCATGATAGGTTGCGATTCTACAGGTATCACTCCTCTTTCTGTTGAAATTTCCATGAAACCACAAGAAAAGGAAGGAATAAAAAATATGCTCTCCATTGCTTCAGAAGGGGTTGTTGTAGAGGAAGGTGGATGAGGGTCTAAGTCTCAGGGGGAAGAGCCTCAGTCCATAGAAGACCGGGGAGCACTTGTTCCATTTGAACAATCGACTCAAGATGACACTACTGGGGTCCCAAGTGATGAACCTGATCCCTCCGTGGAGGATCCAGTCAGGGGTCATCTCCCCAGGTCAGTGTTGATCCTGCTCCTTCTCCCCACTTTAGGGCTGGGCATATATCCTTAGAGTAAGTTTTAAACTTTTCTCAAATTATCATTTTAATTTTTCAATTAAGATTTTTTAGTTTTAAACATTAGAGAATTAATTGTTCAGATTTTTAGTTTTTCTATTTGTTTCTTTCGTTGCACTAATTCTTTAGCATTTACAAGATTAAGATTTTATTATTTTCCTATGAATTATGCCTGCCCGCCCGCAGTGAGATACTCCCTCTGTTTCAAATTAAATAAGGTAGTTTGACTCGGCACGGAGTTTAAGGAAAAAAGAAAGACTTTTGAAATTTGTGGTCTTAAAAGCTTAAGGGGTAAAGCTTTGTGGGGCCATGACTTTTGTGTGGTTATAAAAGCTTCTCATTAAGGGTAAAATGGGAAAAATGAGGAGTTTAAAGTTGAATTATTTTCAAATTTAGAAATGTGTCATTTATTTTGGAACAGACTAAAAAGAAAAGTACCTCATTTAATATGAAACGGAGGGAGTAGTTAGTAAGATTAGATTGTCGAATGTCTTATCCCTTACTCCTATTAACTTATAACTTTGAAAATTGAGATCATTCATTGGGATTTTCAAATGCAAAAGAAAGTTTTATTTTCTAAGTTGAAATTTAATCCCTCTTCTCTTAAGAGCAAAAATTCAATTCCTTTCTCTTAATAGTATGGTCACGACTTCTATAATAAATTTTTGGATAGTTTTTATTCTTATTGGATAAACCGATAACCGAACCGATAAGGATTGTTAACCGACTAACCGACACCTAATAACCGATATATTATCGGTTCGATTATCGGTTTAGTATTTTTATAAACCAATAACCGATATGAAGAACCGATAATACTCACAACCGAACCGAACCGACCGATGCCCACCCCTACCCCACTTCTATGCTGAGCCTCTAAATATGGTGGTGCCTGAGATGAAGTCTGATAGTGAAGAAGACGCAGATGATTTGGCGATTGCTAGCTTTATTAGGGCTAAGACTGAGCAAGTTGCAGCTCCAGAGCCAATTCCTAAGAGACCCACTACATGGTTGTAGGAAAAGGAGGCTCTGGAGTCTGCTCTCAAGAAAAGTCTAAGGAGTAAGAGAAAGAGAAGGCTGGTAAAAGATGGAAAAGTTGTGCATGAAAAAGTCGTCTGGTAAATGTGGATGAGGAGGCAGAAGAGGAACCTAGTTCCTTAACCTACAAGTCCTCGAAGTAGAAGCAATCTCACTCTCAATCTATAAGACACACTTCTACAAGTGTTGAAAGTCCTTCCAAGAGTGCTGATGCTGCTTCCAGTGAAAAGTTGGTGAAAAATTCTGGTGACAAGATAGTGAAAGGGAGTGGTGATGATGAAGAAGTGGAAAAATCCGGTGAACATATGCATAAAAAGTTAGTGGAGAAGGGAAAGTCTATTCGCAAGTCAGTAAAAAGAAAAATGGATGATGATGAGGAACCTGGTACCATCAAGAAAGCAAAAGTTTGTGAGTCTCTTAGTTTTGAGAAAAAGAAGTTGAGAAATCAGAAAGTACTGTGGGGCCGCACATTTGCCTCTGACATTCTAGAACTTGCTGGGATGAGACAGTTAATGGAAATTTGTGATTTTTAACAATGGACTACTTCGTTTACAAATGATGTTCCCAAATTGTATGAGGAGGAGATACGAAGTTTTTACACCGACCTCCTCACAATAGAGGGTGATCAAATTTGTATATTGATAAATGGGGTGGACATAGTGATGGACTCTACCTTATTGGGGTCAATTATGGGTGTTCCTGCTGAAGGACTGTCGTCTGTTCAGGGTGCTTGCACGTCAAACTTTAGAAATGCCATTGTCAAGGACAAGGCAATCCAGTATGGGGAACAGGTGCATAAGAAGGCACTCCTTCAAGTATATCAGTTGCTTTTTGAGATGGTTAACAAAGTGTTGCTTCCCCGTGCTGAGAGAAGATCTATTGCATCCAAAGCTGACTTGTTCCTTATGGAAGCCTTGGATAATTTTACCACCATCAATTTTCCTGGCATAATGATTGTGCATATGCAGAAGGTGGCAAACCTTAAGGATGGGAATCCTGGGCTACCTTATGGTTTTCTTCTCACAAAGGTCTTTGAGTTCTTCAAAGTGCCTCTGGGACAGGCCAAAGTGGGCACTAAAAAGCAATCCTTTTCCAAAATCACTCTTGAGGAGTGTGAGTGTATTGACAAGGTCGGAGGAGTTGGAAGCACTTCCACTATCTCTCAACTGATAAATGCTCAGAACAGTGCCACAGAGGAGATCCAAAAGTTGAAGGCTAGGAACGCAATTCTTGAGAGTCAGCTCAGTCAGTTACAAGAGGCACCTGGTTCTAGTAGTTCTCACAGCTCAGAGGTTGCACGCCTAACAATGGAGAATCCTGAGCTCAGGAAACATGTGGAGGACCTGAAAGAAAGACTCCTCAATGAGCAAATATCCGTGAATGCTCGCATGGATCTTATCCTCTAAACCCTTGCTTTCTCTTCCAAGCCCCTTTCCTCCAGTGTCCCCTAAAGGATGTCCCCTCAGTGTCAAGTTTCCAGTGTCCATCTTCTTAGTTGTTTTTGGTGATGTTTTATTTTGTTTCTAGTAATTGTTTTTGTTTGTTTTAAAATTATAGATGATAACAATGATTCTGCTCCCGCCTATAAAGGTCCAAATTTGGTTAATGCAAGTACTTTCTTTTTGTTGTTTATGCTACTGCTCTTTTGTCTCTGTTTTCTATCATGTTATGTGCACACAAGTGCCATGAGTTAACCACGCTAGACTTCTTTATGCTGCTTACTTGTTCTGTGCTTTTTATGATGCCAAAAGGGGGAAGATTTAATGAGCGATTTAATTGAATAATAATGATCATAATTGAATAATAATTTGAAAGGGGGGAAATACAGATTCAGGGTGAACTCACTGTGGTTCAGGTATAGACCTCAGGTACAGACTAAAGGGGAATGCAGAAATTCAGGGGGAAAACTTATGGTCTTTCTAGTTCGTTGTCTGGTTCTATGTGGCTCTTTATGGGATTTTCAATTATGAGTTTGTGATCATCAAAAAGAGGTAAATTGATAGGTTACGAGTACTTTGTTCTATAGGTCATAAGTACTTTATTTTATGTTTTGATGATTTAACAAACTTACTATCCAGAACCAGATAAGGAACCCGGTACACATTCACAAGACCTTAAGATCACAAGGTTCCAGCTTGGGATATGATTCAACTCTTCAAAGTAGAAGGAAGAGCTGAGGGAACAGGTCCCTACTAGTTCCCGAGGTGACTGTACGAAGTCAACTCTCCGCTGGAAAGTTGCTGCCTGCACACGCTACAGTACAGGAACAGTGCAGCAGTCAACTTTCTGTGGAAGACTTTTTACCTAACTTGCTTACATCATTGTAAGTGATGTCACACATATATTAATACAATCAAGGAAGGTAAAACATTTCACTTGATCACTTAGATATTTTACTCAAGCTCACTCACGTGACCATCCAGCAAGAAAGTTTCAAGTGCTTCAAGAACAAAGAACAAAACAACTACGGACCAGTTCCCACATCAAGTCATTGTATGTCCTTAGTTGAGTTGTAACTTTGTAATAGTTCTTCAATTGTATTTCCTACTCAGCTTGTTTAGAACCATTCTATAGGAACCCCTTTTGTAAATCTTAAACCCGTGTTTGAGTCTTGGTTAGAGTTAGTTAAGTTGCAAAGTCTTTGTAATAGAGTTATTACAAAGTGACTTGTAGTAGAGTATTACAAGTTAGAAAGGGATTAAGAGGTTAGTTCCTAAGTTACATAGGTTGTAATCTAAAAGTTGCTCAGTAGTGAAGTTGAAATCCTACAAGGGTTGGTCGTGGTTTTTAATTCCGTTGAGCTAGGAATTTTCCACGTAAAATTCCTCTTGTCATTTACCTACTGTTGTGTGCGTGTGTTCTAGTGGAATTGATAGAGAACCTGGTTCTCTATAGAGTTTGGTGGACCCTTATATTCTATCAAGTTTCCTTCCGATTGTTGATCAAAATGATGTCATTAGACTTTATGTGCGCGCTATAGACGAGGATGAATTCCAAAAATGCCGTTATAGACAATCCAGTAGGCTTTGAAATCAGTCCTATTTCTATCTCAGCTGGAGAGACACATTTCTCGGAAAGGGTAATCATCAGTTGCATCGTCGTGCAAATAAAGATGATACTTAAAAGAATAGCATGCTGCACCAGAAACGGTGAAATTAATAATAGGAATATTTTTTGATAAAGCAATATCTGGAGCCCATGCCTGAAAGAAATCTTCTACGATCAAATCAGGGTTAAGATTGTTGACTATGTTGGAAAAGCTTTCGCCAGCCATTTTATAGGCGGTGAAAAGAGGTGGATAGAGATGGTTAGGAAGACCTTTGGTGCTCTGGTGGTGTGAAAGAAGATCGGGCATAGATGGCAAGTGAAAGTTGTATGAGTTCAATATTAGTGTTTGAAACAGCTGAGAAGTATTTTTCTTGGCTTTGCTTGAGGAAAGTAAGGACGGCGGAAGTGGAACAAAGATAGATGTGGAAGTTGTCTTTGGAGAGCTTTTTGGCAATAGTTCAAAAGATAGATGTGGAAGTTGGCTCCTCATTACTCTAAGCAATCACAACGCACGATGGGAAGTTACAAGCCCAATTATATTTAATGAAAGTAGATCTCTCCGGTTAATCTTAGAGATCTACCAAGAGGATCCCTTGTTTGTTTTTAGGAATAAAAGTAAACCTCAAGGAGCTAATTAACAGGCAGAGAAATGGCTTCTTCTGATCATCCCACTACTACTTACTACAACTCTTGTTATGTTCACTTTCATGTCCAAAGGCCATACCATTCCATTATTTTGGTGCGTAGCTAACAGTAAAATACTATCTACCATCTCCTTTGTCACATAAAAGTCATCCAACTTTAACCAGGTTAACTAAAACATAAATCTCACCTTAATTTTTATATTTTACAGCAAAAATATGACATGACACTCCAAGATAGTTGGTTTGCTTAATAAACTTAAATATAAACCGATTAATATTAGCTACCTTCCCCTATGTGTTTTCTTCGTACCACTTATCTCCTTTGGAGTTTACGAAATTATGCTTATTATCTTCTTATTTTGATTATTTTGTAACAATTCAAAGGCATGAAACATATCAAACTCGTAAATTTTGTGTTTGATATTGTATTGTTCGAAGTTGTAGCAAGGAATTGTTCGCTAATTTAAAAGGTGTGCTTAAAATTCACTAAATAAATGAGTAAATTTCCTCCAGGAGAAATACTCAAATCATATTTTTTACATTAATGATGAGTTAAAAAATTATTACAAAGAAATCAAAACAAGAAAAGTAAACTTAATATTATTGGAGATTAATCCCAAATGTTATTTACTTATTTCGGAGTGCCATGTGGTATAAAAATTCAAGTGAAATTTGCTTTTAACTAGTAGTCAACGAGAAATGCATGTCATGTTACCATGTAATTTTCATTTCTTACTTTTAATGACAACTCAAACTGTATGGAATATGTGCTATCAACTGGTGGAATGCGTATTCCGATGAATAGGGATTCATCAAAATACTTGCTCTAATGTCGTGCTTATTACTCTATTTGGAACCTCCAGAGCACTCATGGAAATCAGCGAACTTTAACCCATTATTAATTACTCAAGTGTAGGCACACGAAAGAAGAAGATTCACATTATCTTTTTGGGTTGGAGATTACAAATTATTTGATTAATAAAATTTAAATCGTTAAGTGAGCGGGGAGAAAAAAATTCCATTCCAGTTGGCCGTGGATACATATAGAGGCAGATTCAATAATTTTGAGTCAACGAGTGAAAAGTTTGCATCCATTATTATAATTGGCTCTCAATAGATTAATCAGTAATTTGTCGTGTATGGTTCTCTGCACGTCTCACTTCTAGTTTTGGTCTTTCTGAAACAAAACCAAAAAAAAAAAAAAAAAAAAAAAAAAAACTCCAAAAGAATTTCACATGTTATGGGTGTGTTTGGTACTCAAATGTTTTCTAGAAAATAAATAGTTTTCTTACTTATTTTCTGATATTTAGTTAGTTAGCACAAAATATTTTTAAGTAAATAATATGGGAGACAAAATGGATGAGGGCAGGATAGAGGGGGGCGGTAGGGGTCCAGGCGAGAAGTGCGTTGTGGGCGGGGGCGGGCGGTCGGTTGGGGAGGCAGAGGTTGGCCGGGGTGTGGGAATGGAGGGTATAGGCACATGGTTCTGTGGTAGGGGTGGGTGGGGGTGAGGTCGGGTGCTAGGGGCTGTAGTGATGNGTTTGATTTGATTGTGTTTTATTTCATTTCAATCTTGGTTTAGCTATTGTTCCAAATCTGTTCAAACACTGTCTGGTTAATGGCAGTGGTGATGTTAGTTCCAATTTAAATTGATAATTGTTTCTTAATTCAATATTTAGGATAATTGAATGGTTATAGCTGATTTAGGTTAGATGAAATTAACATAGTCAATATTAAGTTAAATTAAAAGGGGCTTGGGTAGTCTAGCAATTTCAGAAGGCTTAAAGGGTAGTTTGGACATGGGAAAAGGGTACTTTCAGCAGGTTTGGTAGTTTTTGAAGAGGTTTAAGGGTAGAATAGGGATTGTGATAGGCATGGAACTTTCTAGGAGGGACTATAGTGTAGATTCTAATAAACTTAGGTTAACAAGTTAGAAATAGTGGGGTAAACACTGAAATTAGAATAGGGACTAAGGGGGGTAAAGAAAATCTGAAAATTGGACTTAGTTCACCTATAAATAGGCAGTCATTTTGCCTTGAGGAGGAGGTCTGAAGTTTTAGAAGGGGGGAGAGAGGAAAAAACATTCTGGAATCTGAGAGGAATTAGAGTTAAAAACCAGAAATAAAGAACACAACAAAAATATAAAAAGTATACTGTTCCATCGAAAATCTTTAAAATTTTCGTGGCACTCTTTCTGTGACAAATTATGAACAATTGGGGTACTCTACTTGAATTGCTAAACTGAGTCTGGGTAGTCAATCTGGTGCTGGACTATATTGGTGTTTGCAATTGTTGGTGTCTTGGTTCATTGTTGAAATTTCAATCCCATTCCTGAACTTGCTGGGCTGCTGTTGCAAACTGTCACTGCTACTGATTTTCTCCTTTTCTTATTTGCAATTACCAGGTACACTGCTGTCCTTAGTAGCATGAAGCTTCACGAAATATATATGGACAGTTGTGGATAAGGAAATATCATGTTATCACACAAGTCTACCTCTGTTTTAGTTATTAGCTTAATATATGTAGCTGTAACTTCATGTGTGTGAACATGTATAGATATTAAGTAGGACTGTTTGTATAATTAGGACTGTTTAAATATGAACACTTTGGGACTTATACGAGCTCAAGTTCTATGATTCATGATAAAGCTATATTCAGTGAAATCCTGTTCATTGTTAGTTCGTGTACGATCCCACAGCTTGTTGATAAATCTTGTATTAGTAGCGTATAGGCTCAATAGTTTTGCTTCGTTGTTTTAATGAGATTCAACTCATGCCAGAACATAGGTATTGAATTGATGATTGATTAGTCTTAGTTCTTAAAATGATCCTTATTCTTACAATATGGAATCCAGGCAATACACCTGAAAATTCAAGGACTTTTAGTCACTTTGGGCCCCAAACAAAAATGGCCCAGCAGCTGTATACAAAACTGGCCCAGAGTCCATTCCAAAGAGTCAGCTGCATGGCTGAAACTCTGATATGGGGTAGGGGTTTAATTCAAATTTTATTTTCATTGGGCCTACACCAAGGCCCACGACTGGCGCTGCTTACCAAAACGAACCAGGGTGTCGGGCTAATTCCGAAGCCCAACATGATGGAAGCTAAAAACCTATTAAAATTACATTAGGAGTATGGGGGACTAAGTTGCAACATAAATTTAAGTTCCCGAGTTAGGTAGCGGGTTCAAATTAAGAGGGTCCTCCCTTTTGTTTGAACTCGGACTTGAACTCGAGGCCTGAATTTATAAGAGCAAATTAATTAAGCCCATTTAGATACAAAAGAAATAGAAAATCGTATATGCTTTTAGGTTTTCCCCTTAAATAATAAATGAGATGAGCTTCGCCAAATAAAACATATAAATCGCGGGGCCTCCCATTAAATGTTTATACCAAAATATTTAGAATTCGGGGCGTGCCATTTAGCAAATTTCCATGGCCTCCCGCAAAGTTAATAAGACGTTAGCCACTTTAGGCGCGCTTTTTAATAATTTACCTTCTTAAACTCGGCTGCACATTTATGTGACCCAAATCCAAATCTCAACGAAGTCGAAATGTGTTAACAATCACGGGTGCACTGGTGCGACGCGGTTCGAAACACATTTTCACGACGTTGCAATTCTTAAAAAATAATAATAATAAAAGCGGTTCAAAGTTAAAAGCACACAGATTGAAGCATGTATCAAACAAATAAGCCAAATATGACAGTTGAGCGACCGTGCTAGAACCACGGAACTCGGGAATGCCTGACACCTTCTCCCGGGTTAACAGAATTCCTTACCCGGATTTCTGGTTCGCTGACTATTAACAGAGTCATAATTTCCTCGATTCGGGATTTAACCGGTGACTTGGGACACCATAAATCTCCCAGGTGGCGACTCTGAATTCTCTAAATAACAAATCTCGTCTCGATCGTCACTTCAAGTTGGAATTAACTCCCTTCACTACGCCCTTTGCTGGTGTAGTAAGTGAAAAAGGAGGTGTGACAGGGTTGAGATGCATTTTAGTGTTATCAATGTCCATTTGGTATTTCGAGTTGGGGAATAGCTCCGTATGGTGATTCTGGTGTTGGGAGCGCGATCGGAAGTGAATTCGGAGGTCCGTGCGTCATTTTGGAGTCATTTGGTTAAAGATAGAAGTTTGAAGGTTTTTGAGAAGTTTGACTGGAAGTGGTCTTTTTGATATCGGGGTCGGATTCTGATTCCGGAAGTTGGAGTAGGTCCGTAATGTCGAATATGACTTGTGTGCAAAACTTGAGGTCAATCGGACGTGATTTGATAGGTTTCGGCATCGAATATTGAAGTCTGAATTTCTCAAGTTCATCAAGTTTGATTTGGGGTGTGAATCGTAATTTTAGCGTTGTTTGATATGATTTGAGGCCTCGAGCGAGTCCTTAATGTGTTTTGGGACTGGTTTGCATGATTAGTTGGGGGTCCGGGGGCCTCGGGCGGATTTCGGATGGTTAACGGATCAATTTTAGAATTTGAAGAAGAAGTGATCAGCTTCCTTCTGGTGTAACTGCACCTGCGAGGCTTGGGCCGCAGGTGCGGCGCCGTAGAAGCGGCCCTTGGGTCGCAGAAAAGGAAATGGGCCGGCCAGGTTGGGACCGCAGATGCGGTCATTTTGTCACAGATGTGTGACCGCACCTGCGGAAGGTGAAGCGCAGATGCGCAAGCCGAGGCTAGGAGGAGGATCGCAGAAGCGGATGGAAGCTCGCACCTGCGGAACCGCAGAAGCGGTCAAGTGACCGCAGGTGCGGAAATGTTGGAATCAGTAAGGTTGTTTAAATCGGGGGTTGAGTTCATTCCAACCCCATTTCTTCCATTGCAGCCAATTTTTGGAGGAACT